ATTTGGAAATGGAAGTAGCTCATTATATATTCGATGAGTATTATATAAAAAGCATATAGAGGAAGTCTTTCAGATTGGAGAACCTTTTGTTGGTTGTTATGACCAAGTGATTGTGGATGGGTTGTGCGCTCCCTCTGAAGCTGGACGCTTTTGTCTTGGTGCAATCCAAAATGTTGAACGTAACTCTCAGGTCGACCAGGCCCGTCGCCAAATTGGTATGTTGGGTTGAAATGCCTCGTTAGATTTTAGTTTTTTGCTGCTTGATAAGCAGAGTATTTTTTTTAGGTAACGGAGTAAGGATATATCGTGTTGGCGAGAACGTTTATGCTGAATGCCTCTGTGAGAAAATTTTTGTTCAGAGTCCCTTGTATGCACTGCAAGCAAAGGACCTTCCTCATACTGTTTACCGTGTGGAACAAGGTGTCATTCCTATAAACAATTTTCCTACTTTTTTAGGGCCTATTTTATTTTTGCCTTCGTCCAAATAACACTTATAAGCTTTAGGAGCAACAATGGAGATATTCAATAGTGATTTTTTCTTATCCCTTCTGCAGGAGAGCGCAGCAAAAGGATACCGTGCAGTCCAGTCTTTACAGGTTTTACAGTGTATAACTGTTTCGCGAAGCTTTTTTACGATATGTTTATTTCATTACTTTCAATTGAAGATAAGCGTTTTGTTTGCTGATGGTGAAAGTAGTGACTAGAAAAGAAAGTGGTGCCGAAACTTTCCAAAGCTCAAAACTTTTTGTTTGAATTTTACTTTTTAGTCGTTATGTCACATGCGTATCAGTTTTATCAAAGGTTGGGGAAAAGATTATCGAAGACAAACCATCACTGCCACTCCGTGCTGGATTGATGCACAACTTAAAGATCCTTTGGGGAAATTGGACAAAGTACTCAGCCAGTGTGGTGGACCGACCGGGACTGTTTATAGTTTTACATAGAAGTTTGAGTTGCTGACCGACTTCAGGTCTGCACATTCTTTTGCATTTAGAACTCAGGTGAAATGTTTAAATTTTTTATTGGGTCATTTCATAATAATGCGATGTTAGGTTTCTTGGTTTCGTTTTACGTTAGTTTTTATTTTATTTCATTTTGTTCTTTTTTTAAATGACTTTGTTCTTGTCAGTGAATGACTCACAAAAGATTTCTTGAGATTCCTTTGTTTAATGGACAGGGCAAATTGCTTTGCACAGCTTTAAATTCCAATGCAAATAGTTCTTTTCTATCTTCTTTTTTATTTGTGATTTGTTGCATATCAGACCAAGTGAAGAAGAGGAGTTTTATGCCTGTTTCTATTTCGTTTCTGTTTTGATTTCTAACATTGTCTAAAGGAAATTTTTTGTAGGTTTGCAACTGTTTAGCTCTGGGAAAGCATTACGGTTTGTGTGGACGTGTATTAGCTTTTATGGTAAAGACAGTTAAGTTCAGAGTAGTATTTCTGGGAAGGATAATTGTAATTTATGTTTCCCTTCTGATTATTTCATTATTCCCGACATGATGTACAAATCGTAATTTCTCTTAAGCCAATGCCTCACTATTTTTAATATCAAAGATTATCGTTTTTGCTTCGCCTCTTCAGGGGAGTATTTTAGCTTTACTTGCAAATTTCTAGCAGCTCTGCAGGATTCATCCCACATTTTTCAGGCTTGATGAAAAGTTTTAGTTTTTTTTTCTTTTTTATTGACATTTATGCCAACAACTTTTCCATTAAGATCTATTCTCCACCACATTGCCAAAGTGAAGCACTCAATAGTAACCGTTACTAGTTGTTTATACTGTATAGATGTTTTATAGGGTCTGCTTTTACGGATTGACTTGGTCTTTATAAATGTCTGTAATAATCGTGTAGAATTCTAATAAATCCCGGTTATTTTTTAGTACTTAAATCGTTTGTCTAGCTCATTGTGCAAAAGCTGCCTACGGGTCTAAAATGCAACAAAATGTTCACGGAAAGTTTATAAACCTGCTAGGATTCAACTTAAATCCCGTATGAGCGTACGCATTAGCAGATATCCAGAGCTTAGCTGCTTTCCGACGTTTACCAGGATCTGAAGATTATGCGAAATTATTGATAGTTCGGTCTAAAAATAAACATTTGCCAGCTAATATGATTATGCTTGTGAGTTACTCATTTCTATTTTTTTGAAAGAAAAGTGCAGCATAGAAAGTTTTTGGTAAGAAAATCAAAAGGAAATGAGTGGTTCTCTTGTATAATTGGGTCGGCATTGATTGGGAGACACAAAGTTCGCTCCTAAATAAGTGCAGTGAGCAGCGTTGCTCGTCGAAAATGTTGGAAATCTTGTCTTTCGAAGTAAAATGGAGTAAGAAAGATGAAGAAAAGATTCAATTTATCACCAAAACCACGCACTGTCCGGTTAGTGGTGTAAATCTGCTGGAGAGTGTTTCAGCCATTATGAGAACTTCAACTTTATATTTCTTTTTGTATATTTGTAGTTTTAACGAATGTAGCCTCATTTTTCAGATAAGTGCTTTTCGGGATAACGGAGCCATCAAGAAAAGTGTTAAGAAACACCTAGGCGAAGTTCACTTTTGTATAGAGGATTTCATTCGTTTTTTTGAAATATTTCTGCACTACACTTTGCAAGGATATGCGAAGAGGCGCCAGGATGTGCGACAAGCTTTTTAGAAGTAATAAGTAGTATAAATCTTTCTGCTTAGAAATATTAATTGAAAATTATGAGGAAAAGTAGTGTCAATTAGGACAAAGAGCCAGAGCGTGGAAAACGGTAAGATTAACATTTTTTGCTAAAATGAGCTAATAAGAACTAGTAGTCTGCAGCAGAATACAATGAGGTCACCAAAAAAAATTATTAAGATTAAACGTCAAAAATATGATCAAATTTCACTTTCCCTACAGACCATAAACTTATCAGTCGACGCTGTAATTTGTACCTTTTCGTTCACGTTCAGAAGTGGTTTCATAACCTGAGGGGAAATATCCCACCACAGTGAACAACGGCAATGTTGAGCTGCAAAGCAAAAAAAAAGCTGTTTGTATCTTTTGTATCTCATTTCACAATGTTTTTGCCGTCTGAAAAAGTTGAGGATTTGAGCGCACTTTGGAAACAAGATAAATATTGTAGCATAAACGCGACACCGCTCGGCCCCAGAGAGGAGTGAGTGAGTTGTAAGCTCTAAAAGTTGTCCACCACTTCGAGTGCTAGGCTTTATTGAGAAGCGTCAAAGAAGTAGATGGGAATTGGGATCAGAAGACAGAAAACCAGTTGCCGTTTCTATATAAAAACAGTGGATTGAAATGCAGAAAAAATGAGATGAAACTTTTTCAGATCGCAATATGTCTACAATCAAAACTTTTTTTAAGGTTTTCAGATGAATGATTTCAGCGTCCCTCTAAACAGGTTACTATTTTTGAAACCACGCTAGTACAATTTAGGGAAGTAATAAAGTTTTTGTCTGGTTGAACTCTGAGGAACACTTTGACGAGCAAGTTGGTTAAACCTACTAAAGCGTAGCAATACCAAAAGCAATTCTAATTTGAATTTAACAAATTTTAGGCATTGGAAAGAAGAAAATTGAAATTTTGCAATGGTCATTAAGTTTCTGTTCCGAAGTGCTATTTCTAATGGATGTTCTTCTGGTGACTGCGAATAGGTAAAAACTTTTCAACATTTCTAAAACTGTCATGAGTTTGTTTCATTTGGTTCAATATGGAGGTGCTTCAAGCGCACTCGTAGAAATCTGGTGAGTCAAGTATAATTTAAGCTCCGAAAGGTATATTTGGTATCTCTTACGCGGTGCTGCAACAGGAGGACCAATTTTGCCGTATTTTGCAAGTTTTTAATTACCTTTCCTTTGAAATAGTATAACTTGACTCTCTGCTTACCAAATGTGCATAAGGCACTTACATGTTGTGAAACAGCGTTATAACTGTTGCTTGTGGTGTGCTGCAGACAGCAAATAGTAAAAACCCCTGAAGATTATTTTTCTTTTAGTTGACCATTGGATAAGGGCGTAAAATTCTGTAGTTTGTGATGCTTTTGAGGTAATATCAAGACGACCGATTGGTGTGAGTTGGTTTGGGTTTGGACAAGAATAAATAAATGACTTTTTTCTTAATGCGTGCAAAGTGCGGCATACTTTTTGTATAAAGGTTTGTATATTCTTTAAATTAATTTATACAGTTTT